TGTTTTGCTGCTAAAACCCCATTTAAGTATGAAATAAGCTCACCTTTGATGTTAAACCATAGCCTGGGATAATATTTAAAACCGACCACTAATACACATTTGTAGAATAACAGTTACCCCTTTGTACAGCAGCTTCTCATGAAAAAAAAGAGATTTTATGGTCTGTTCTTTCTGTTCCAAAACTACCCAAATCAGTATTTGGATATCATTTGTTGCAAACCACTGCTGTACCATAGCATGTGGCAAGAAATGATATATTATAATGCTGATAAAGATATGTTCCTTTTTTTGATATGACAATGCACTGACTATTACCAGCTGAGACAATGGGTCATATCCAAAGCTTTTTTCCAAGTTGCAGTCAAATTAAAACCCATCCATCCAAAGTACATAATAAATAACAGTTCATCAGTTCACAGTTGACGCTTTGCATTTGTGGCAGTGAAGGGTGGCTTATGGGCTGCAACACTCTTGGGAAATTCATCAGTGGATATGACAGTCTACAATCCTGAACCATCATTATAGTAGTAGATGACTGCATTAATGGAACCAATAACTATTCTTTCTCTGTGGTCATTGAACTGCTTCCCTTGACATTCATAAATTTTTCACACCAAGAGATTAATAAGCAAATTAACAATTTTCTAGAGGACAACTCTTTACAAGCTTGTTGTCCCAATACTCTGGTAATATATAGTTTAAGCCTCTATTAATGACTGATTATGATTTGGAATGTTCATACTGCCCATTTATAATTAATTTATAAAAAAAAATTGACTCACAGTTGCATCTAGTATTGAATAATAGTAATCAGTATCACTAAGTAAAACAACTACCACATTTGTGACTCTATGAATGAGTGTTACTAACTTGTTTCAATGGTATCTATCTGTGCATACGTAACTAGAATGGTGACATTTATTACTGAATAATACAAACCACACCACAGGCCGAAGAGTTACGATTAACTGCATCAATTCTTATTTTACAAAAAAGTTATACTCTTAAATTGCATTATTGGCAGAGACATTGAATGATATCAACTCGCATTACTTATTACTGCTATGCCTGCATTACTACCAAACATACTGGCTGAAAGACTTGCTCTGCTACTAAAAGAAAAAACTGATACTGAACTAAATTTAATCACGTAAATTGTGATTCCTTCCCATATAATCTTATATGCAGCTGTTGAAAAGTTAAGGAACAAATCATAACTTCTCAACAAACAATTTGTTCCTTAACCTTTGACCACTGATGTATATTAGCATATAATGATTCCTTCAATTCCCAGCTAGTCACAATATTTGAAACTTTGTATACAACACCTTCTTAATAAAATACTTTAACACCAGACAATTATGACCTCAATCTACTGTTTCAATTAAGTATCAGTAAACTTACCTACTACCATTAGGGTGAAGTTGAACCCACGTTTCACTGCCTTCCTGTAAACCTGGTTGGGGAGGTTGGCAAACCCCACGTAGCCCTCCATGTCTTTTGGATAAATCGTTTCTGTATCTCGCTCCTTTTCTTTATGTATAATATTTTCCTTTGTGGAATTCATCAGCCCAGATGAAGAGTAAGATGTATTGGTTGTGGATGTCAAGTTTATGGTGGAGTCACCTCCATCAGGACGGAAGAAAATCTCCCGTTTTGTCGACAACTAGAATTGTATCAAACCAGGCAACAAAATATTATATACATATAGTCAAATGTATGCTTAATAATGATAATAATAATTTATAAAATCAACAAGGAAAACTGTACAATAAAAACATACTTAATACTACTTTTAAATTAACAGTTCACCTGAACTTAATGTTCATGCAGTAAGGAAATACACTCTAATTATATTAACTGGTACAAAACAAAATTATATTCGGCAGCTGAATACAGTATCTGTGTATCAAAAGGAATATTTAGTAGTTTATTTGAGAAAGCATAGGGCTATCAATATATTAATTAACTAAACTTAACTTAATTAGTGGAATAACATTTCTCCTGGGACTAACATCAATATTACAGCCACAGACTATACAGTATAGAAGATAGAACAATCCATAAAGAAGATAGTAAATTACTAAATATGTATTAAAACTGGACAAGCAGTTAAGGAGAGAGAAGTTCCTAAATAAAGTGAAGGATTTAAAAACAAAACTTTTTATGAAAATGGAAAATTCAGAACAGTATTACATTTATATTAGAATAAAAATTAAATAAACATAATTCCATTGAAATACAATAAACTAGGGCCACAATAATGCAATAGTTTTCTTTTCTGAAAAAAACGTTCTGGGGCTCAAAATAAACCATCAGGCTTTTCTATAAATTTTTTTATATGCCAAGGTTATTATGAAGCTATATTTCAAGGACACTCAAGTTTACTAATGTTCACCCACACTATTTTAAACAATATTCTGGTTGCTATTTTTAAAATTAAAATAAATATATCCAAGTATTACACACACACATCCTTTATCGGACAAATGTTTAGTTCGAAAAGCAAAAATAAGTATTCTAGTATATAATCCAAGAATTTATTTCCTTAGTTTGTGACAATCTGACAGGTCAATGTTATATACAATCAACTTTAAAGCTACGAATAAAACAAACATCCTTAACAAATTCCAGATAAAAATAGAAAGATAAAAAAGTATATTTTGAATAAACCTTTAATAAAAAAAACTAATGTCCTGAAGACAGGTTTTTTTCAGATACCACCCAGCTCCATTTGTTTCAGTTACTTTGAGGTTCTGTAAACAAACCTGCTAGCATCACATGAGTAACTATAGTATGCTGTAAAACTTTTATTTTTTTAAATTAATAATATACAAGAGTATAGTCCTATCATCATGATTAGCTAAAACAGCAAACAGAAGAGACAAAGACACGCATATTTAATTAGACATTCGAAGTGGAATCAGTAGCTTTATTTCTTCCTTGAATCTGACAACTCATCCTAACTAAGGAGTCCATTACAGTCTTGGTAGATGTAAGAAGTTGAAAGGTTTAAAGTCGATAAATGGTTGCACATTCTACGGAATGAATAAGGGTTAGAAACAGTGTACTGAATTGACTAAAGAACTTTGTGTAATGTGCATTTGATAGTTGTATAGTGTTGACTAGGAACTATGTGTAATTTGTATGTGATAATTATATAGTAACGGCTCAGGAATTGTGTAAAAAGTTTGAAATTGTTGTATTGTAATGACTTAAAATATGTGTATTAATCGTCACTGTAACTAAGATACTGTAAAATTATGTAAATAATAAGCAAACTGCTGTTACGATATTTGAGCAGGCAATACAAAGTCCACTAGTTAGTTTATGGGTCAATAAAGCAATTCAAGTTTATTTTTGTCATCAAATTACAGAAAAAAAAAGATTGTCAAATTTTTCATTCTTTATTGAATAAGATAAAACCTAACATTATAAAACATAAGGAGATATGGAACAATATGCTCAATTTCACATAATTGAAAAGTTCAAGAAGTTGATACAAAAAAAAATGGACAAGGCTGAGTGAAAAAATAAATCAATATCTTTTCATGCTTTCTTTGAGTCAACTTTCATAACAAATTAGAATTAAACATAGCAGGGTATTTTCATGGTATATTATTTTACAGTTTAACTTTAAACAAAGACATCTTGTAACCTTTTGTTAAATGTTACAATTTAGCATCTTGAATAGAATTGTTTAAACATTTGTTTAACAACAAGTAAAAGCTTGGAATGGTCTATTCTTTCATTTGGGGT